ATCTGAATCTTCCCCTTCTAATATAGGTGTACGAACCTTGGCTTTTAAAGCTAAGCCTTTTCTTTTCCCTATCTTCATTGAGTCAAATCCATGATTTATTTAAAAGGTACGCAATTCACCGAGAAGGTCATCAATGCCCAGCTTTTGAATTCTCTGAATACTCTCTAAAGCTGTGATCTTAATTCCAAATCTATCTGGTAGGGTTCTCATCAACTTTTGTACTTGTCTTGCCTCCGATACAGGTTCACCAAGCATTGCGCTTTGGTTTATAAGATCACAGAAGCGAGCATAGTACATATCAATGGTTACATCATCCCTCATGCGAATCTCGCCACGTTCAGTAGAAACTCTTTGGAGCCTTGAGGTTTTTACCGCATTTGTACCTTCAAATTGTCTTTTCAAAATCCTCCAGGCTTCTTGAGCGGTTGTGCACTGAATGATTATCTTGTGACGAGTTGGATCTACCGCAGACATGATAGCATATAGAGCCCGGAAATTAGCTTCTTCTGCTAGTCTTTCCGCATTAGTCCACAAATCTCTTGGTTTTTCAACAAGAACACGAGGACCAACATCAGAGGATCCTTCCTTCTTTTCCGAGGGTGATTTCTCCATCAAAGGTGTTGACCAACCTGATTCGATGACTTGCCAAGTTCCTTTTCTAAGAGACCGAAGAAAAATTACCATCATGGATTTCCAGTACCCGTAGTTCGAACCATCGAGGTACGGAGGGCACGAAACAGACATGTTGTGGTTCATGGTGACCAACCCAAAGACAAAAAAATCTTTATCCTGTGGTTAGAATAGGAACACTGCTCTGGTGCCAATTGAAACGTATATTTTTAACTCGAGTGCGCAAAACAATGTAAGAACGTGGATAAACAACCTAAATAGCAGAAGCAATAAACCGAAGATGTAAAAACTCTTCAGGGAAGCGTCCTACTTCCCCTCAGAGCGCTTTCATTGATAAACTGTTCACACTTGTATAGTTTGGACTTACAAGACTCGAACTCCCTTCTAGTCTAGCCACAACTACACACGATCCTATCAATTACTTATCCGGCCACGTCCCGTGGACTTCTATCTGTCGAATCCCTCGAACTAACCACTGCACTTAATCCCTAAGTACTGATCACAAAAGTGTTTGAATGAAATTAAGAAAAACAAACTAAACAACTTCAGTTCTTGGATACGTAAGAACCATTGAACTGAACTGTGAACAAAATAAAACTAGAAAGGCTTGAAGCTCGGATATTGAATGGAGGATAATTATTTCAGCAGCCTATCTTCGATCTTCAAGCAGGGTATATATACAACTCCTTAGGGTGGAGTCTTCTCCAACTTTTTCCTTTCCTTTTAGGAGTTAATTTCTTTCTCAATTGATTGCTTTCTGATTTGGACGAAATCCTTCATGTAAGGTAAGTTTTCTTGATGTATAAATCGTGCATGTGATTTGGAGATCTTCATAATTGAGCTTCAAATGGAATCTTGCATTTCCAGAATCGGGTAAGAGCATGACTTTCCAAAAATAGCCGATCTTCCAAATCTTCAAAGATCTTGTGGTGAATCTTTTCAAATCCTCCTTAGATCTTCTCATGAACGTCCAGAACTCTTCTTATATGGAAAGTTCATCCTTTCATAGTTCTTGCCACTTATTCCTTGTCCTACAAGAAAGAGGGAACTAATTATGGCATGTGACATACATGGTAAGTAAATATATAAGATATATATTTTGTAATCCTTCTCCTAAAGAATTAGGATTCCATAATACATACTACAATAAATATATACCATATATTATTAATAATAAATATTAAGAACTTAATTAAATCACAAATAAAAAAATAAAAAAACTTCTCTTTAATTTATTTTGCTTGCTTAACAAGAAATCTTCTAGAAAACACTTAGGTTTGTCGGACATGATGCCAAACCAATGTTCTTACACGGATAAAATGGTAAACGACTACACACCTCTTCAAAGATATACTGAGTTTTTTATCCCGTCAATTAATAAGTTAACTTTTTTCAAAACACCAAGTGCAAAATAAATTATGCAGTAAACTATGCGAGAAACAGACGAAGATATTGAGCAAGTCCGATCTCATTATGCGATAAACTATACGACAGGACGGTGAATTAGTTAATTGAGTAAGTGCGAAATAATTAACCATAAATTATGCGACAGGAGAAGTAAAAACTCAGAGAGCTCTATGTCGAAAGGAGTGAGTTAATTAATCGAATGGAGTGCATATTTTAAGATCGACTAGACAAGTTGTGGGCTCAATAAATGGATCAGCAAAAGCAAGAACTACTTTTACATTGAGTTTCCCTACCTCGGCCA